TCGATATGTTGATGACACATTTGTGTAGTGTGCAAAAATGAAAGTCATGCTTCACACTTACTCGGAATTATTCAATGATGCACATACCAATATTGAGTTTACTATGGAACATGAAAGTGACGGGAAGTTCCACTAACTCGACATTGTCACGCAACAACGCCTAGAAAACGGTAGTCTTCAGAAGTCAATTAAACAGCTTTTGTCCAAATAGTTTCAAAAGCGGACTAGTCAAGACTCTGTACTATAGAGCGAGGAGAATATGCTCCATAGACAAATTAGAGGAAGAATTTGAGTTTCTTGGAAAAATAGTAAAGATGTTATGCGTACCCTCGAAGGTTCATCAACAAGTATGGAAGATCTGAAGTCACAAATGTAAAACAAATCACAGTAAGAAAAAGCCAATCTACTTTCAGCTTGATTATAAAGGTGAAAACATTGCAGCAATGAACAACAGAAGGCTGAGCACATCACTAGACAGAGCCTATCCTGCAGCTAAGCTCATCCCCGTCTATCGAACAACTTGCTCTTTGGTGCAATCAAAAATCGATAGATATCATTCTCATGTTAACTCCAAGTGCATATACAAATTTACATGTATCTGCGGGAGCAGTTACATTGGAAGAACAGAAAGAAGGGCATATCTATGATTTTCTGAACATGTACCAAAACGCTTATGTCTAAAGGGTCATGAGGTGGACGTCGAAAAGTCATCCAAAATTATTAATAAGCAAAAGAGCTCAATTCTCCTCAAGTTTACTGAAGCCATTTCCATCAAGCGCCTGAAACCTGACTTATGCGTCCAGAAAGAAGGGGTTATCAGTCTTTCTTTGCCCTGATAACTGGATATTTTTCATCTGAATGCGTAATGTTGAAAAGTTTCCATTGTGTATGAATATTATTGTTAGGAGTAGTGTTTAATATTGCATATATATATATGTATATATTATTAGTGTATGCGTATACTGATCGATTGATTTTTTGTTTAAAATGAACTCTGTGCAAGAATGTTAAAATTGTTTCTGTAGATATACTTAATAATGTCTTTAGCCTGTAAGCAGCTGACGAGAAGGCAACGAAATAAACAATGATGGTACCATTTTATTCTGCTAAAACTGTAGTTCTTGCTTTGTTCAAATTCATTAAGGGGAATAAATGTGTGAAAACACGATATATATATATATATATGTACGAATATAAAAGTTCTTAATTCGGTATTATATCATTTTGTAAACTGAAAAGTGCTTATTTTGTTTAAACAATTAGAATATAAACAGAACAGTAAACCACTTGTCTATTTTCATTAGATTATGTTAAATCAAACGGACATCTAAATATTTACTAAACAAAGGCAGGAACACATAAACTGTTTATATGAGAGAGAGAAAAAAAAAGTTACAACTGAAGTAAGAAAGTGAGAGAAGTGAAGAGAAGAGAAGAAAAAGGGGGAGACTTGATAACAAGTATGCTTTACTGTGATATTGTGATACTGTGAATGTAATGCGGGTATATTCATTTAACTAGGCTGATGTTTATTTGTACATACGATATAGTGCACAGCCTACATATATATATTATTTACCTGAAATGTAACTGTTCTTTCATGATATTCAAGTATTAGTTTTGTAGGGATTTAGTATGATTGGATGGAGGATTTCATCATGAGCTGACATCAGTTAGAGAAACATTGGAAAACCAGCTGGGAGTACTGAACATCTGTTTTGTCCTAGTTTGTACCCTACTGGTCACGGCTTCCTACTAGAACCCCAGGTCACTGCCTGCGGTGCAGTAGGTTGGAGGTGAGGCAGTTACTCATCAAAGAAGACATTGCGAAATGGTCGTGCTATGTCATAAATTGACTAAAGTCAGAACACATGGGCCATTGGATCGGGTCCCAGTGGCTCAATGGTATACGAGGTCACTTGCCTTGTAACCAGAAGGTCCTGGGTTCGAAACCCTGTGGTGGGTACGTACTCATGAAGAGCCCCAAACTAGGGTGATGAAACAGCGGTCCAGTACTCCCACGTTTTCTAATGGTTCTCTAACTGATGTTAGCTCATGATGAAATCCTCCATCTTTTCATGATGTGTTGTCATTTGATGAATTATCCAAATTGCTGGTATAATATATAACAGATTTATTATATATTCAGTGGTTGAAGGCGATCTGCAACAACTGATGTCCTCCTTCAACCAGCCGAGAATCGAATCTCTGTCAATGACAGTGCTACAATCAGAGATAATACCACTGAGCTAGTGACTTACTGCTTTCTGTATTTACAACAGAGAAATATGGAATAGTCTTGCGCATTCAGTATGGTTTGAACTATAAGTAAATACAGGCGGCGGCAGTTATATATGTTCCCAATAGTTGGATTGTAAAGATTAGATTTGTTTTAACGAGTTGATCACGGATTGATATCAGTTAGAGAACCATTGAAAACCGGTATTGGAGTACTGAACAGCTGTTTCATCAGACTAGTTTGAAAATTATCGATAGTACGCACCCACCCACCACCAGGGTTCGAACTCGGGAACTTGAGCTCGTATGCCATTCAGCCACTGGGACCCATCTCCTCAATGGTCAGCCCATGAATTCTAATTTCTGCCAATTCGTGATTTTAGCGCGGACCAATGTCATTGGTGGGACATCCATCCTAACACTTGACTGGGTGGACCTCACTGGTAGCTTCTACAACCGGAAGGTTTTGGGTTCGAACCCAACGGTGTGGGTGAGTACTGCCGACGATTCCCAAACTAGGATGAAACAGCTGGCTGTTCAATGCTTCTCTAACTGATATCAATCCGTGATCAACTCGTAAAAACAAAGTTATGCATATATCACCAACTACTGGCAGAAGTTAGAATTGATGAGCTATGGGGGTTCTGTGTCACAGTGGCTGAATTATTGACAGGCTCACAACATTACCCCATTAAGTACATAGGTGCGTGCCACTGAAGAGACCCAAACTAGGACAAAACTGCCATTTAGTTATTCCTATGACAGTTCATGACAAAACTTGAAGTCAAGAAAATTCCTACAAATCAATATTTACAAATGTCTAAGTCGGCTGTATCCATAGAGTCTACTTCTAAACGATTTAGTGTTTAGAGAGATTTTCATTAATCATTTCTCATACAAACTTGATACGATACGGACACTAAGAGACATGTTATGCAGAAATAATAAGACAGTAATATATATAAGGATAGGAGAAATAGAATACATGACACGAAGAACAGGTAAGCATACTTGTCAAGAAGATTCAAAAGAGCTTCCATTACTTCGTATTACTTTCAGAAAGAGTGAAAAGGAGGAAAGTGAAGCCGTATTCGCCACTGATATTGATTTTCCGCCATACCTGATCATATGTTAAGCTAGTGAGTTGGATAATCATTCAGACCTCTGTTACGAGAGTGGTAATACACCGACAGATGTTGATAAAACACAAATATCTCTCATCCCACACAGCTATCCATTTGCTATGCACGGATAGCGTTAGGAAATAGAAAACGGAATAGAAGCCACTGGGGATGACATTCATAGAACATTTCCCATTCACTAAAATTTTTGTCTGAAATCAAAATCACTTAATGAGAAACGATCTCCACATCATGTCTAAACATTTACTGTCAGATCTTAGAATCTGTCTGTCTTTCCTTGAAATAATGAATAAAACCTCTCTAAAAGATTTTGATTTCGACAAAAACTCTACCGGATAACAGACAACTATTTTGAATTTGAATAAGGAACTATATAGACAAATAGATGGTGTGGCAATATGGTCACCACTATGACCCATTCCAGCCGACATTTTCCTTGCGAAACTAGAAAATGGGCCTTTGAAAGATGTTACTGATGAACTTGAATTCTATTGTCGGCACATGGTTGTGAGGAGGTAACAAAGAGCATCCTGGATAAATTTAACGAGGATCATCCTGCCATAAATTTTACCATCGAGAAAGAAAGAAAAAGACTCTAGTATTTCATTTCTAGACATCCTTATGACCAGAAAAGAGGATGGCACAATAAGAAGAAGTGTATATAGAAAACGGGTTAGTATACTCATTTTTTTCAGCTTCGTGCCCTTAAACTACAAACGCAATCTGATAAAGTGCTTGGTTCACAGAGCAACAGCAATCTACTCAGATGAATGTCTTGATGAGGAACTTAATAATATTAAACGGTTACTGAGTGAAAACGGTTTTCCAGAAGAGTTTATTGATAAGAATATGAATCTAAAATCAAAGCAGCCCAAGGTACCAACAGTATCTAAAAAGGCTTTATTCGTACAAATTCAGTTCCTCGGGGACAGTATTAGCGAGATACTAACACAACGCCTTAGAAATGCGGTAAAAAAGGCATCCCCTGTTGCTGAATTGCGCTGTGTCTTCAAAACCACTCCTCTTTTGCGTTCGAGAGTAAAAGACAAACTGCCTAATTTCGCCTTTTCCACGTGTATCTACTAATTTAACTGCTCCTGTGGAGCCAGTTACATAGGTTGTACAATTAGACGTGTTTCTCGTCGGATTTCCGAACATCACCATGCATGGTGGTTAAGTAAACGACAAACAGAATCCGCTCATATCTCTATTCTATCTCATCTTGTGGATACGGAACACAAGATTGATGTTAACCAGGCTTTCAGAAACATTTACCGCATACCTACAAATCCTAATTTCGCCTTAAGAGTTCATTACTAAATATTGCTGAGGCTATTGGGATCCACATCAAGTAGCTTAGATTGTGCGTTCAAAAGAAGTTAGTTCTGACATTATCCTTAGGTTGACCACCTAGGTTTGAATGATCCTCAATTTTTGTAATTTTAGTTGATATTCTAGTTGCTATTATATCTTTATTATTATTATAATTTAAGCATCTTCAATGAACTGTAACGATCAAACACTCCTCACTATTAAGGTGACGAATTTTATCCTAATTAATACAGTAAAATAATTCAGAGGAAACAAAAAAGAATATATGCATTACTAAATTATACTTACGTAACACCAACTGCATAAATGTACATTTGATGTCGCAACACAAAGCATAGACTACGTGCTCTCTCCATTAGAAGGACCACAGCAATGAGTGTTGTCCAACAACGTGTACCCGTACAACCATAATAAAGTATTACAAATTGTATGTAATTTGACCAATGTACTGATTGATTAACTAAATAAAATTGAGGAAAAATAAAAGACGTTTTCTTCAATAAATATACAGATTTCAATTATCCCGAACAGATTAATATATGTGTAAAACTTGGGCACTGTGGCAGTAAGTATTTCCGTATCAGTTTGTTTATTAGACGTATCACACAGTCACTGAAACAGTATTATTTACTGGATGACAAAGTTTCGAACAAAATTTATTGCCGTTCATAATCATGTCGCCAATTATAATCACGTAACTTCGAAACTTGAATTTTATAGTAGTAGAATTTTCCAGATATCTGGGTGGACAGGTGTTGGATCATTCCTATTACACGAGTTCTCTTTCAGCTGTTACGATAAACAAAGCTTCCGTTATGAATCTCTTCCTGCACCCTGTGATATTCGATTTTAAAACTGTCATCTTATCCCATCATCCTATGCTGTATGGTTGTGTGTAACTGCATGTAGTGCTATAGCTGAACTATTCTCTCAAGACAACACCAACAATAAGGAATCTAAATCATCAGTAGTAATTCCATACAAGGAAGGAACCTCGGAAAGCTTACTCAGAATTCTTAACTAGGCAGGAATAAAAGTGGCTGGCATTCAAAAACACAAACTCAATTAGAAACAAGCTTTGTCGATTAAAGGATCAATCCTGTGGAGCCTTTAAAACAAAACAACTTAGTTTATCTAATAACCTGTCTGCCAAGCTTGTCAGGTCAAATACATAGACCAAAGTACTAGAACAGGGTCAGTCAGTCAGACTAGCCGAGCATAAAAATCTAGCAAAATCTAGATTGGTTGACCCAAATAAGATAAGAAATCTAGAGAATAGTTCAGCTATAGCACTCACTACATACAATTACACACAACCATACAGCATAGGATGGGATGGGATGGGATAGGATGACAGTTTCAAAATCTACTGTCACAGGGTGGAGGGAAAGAATGATAACGGAAGCTTTGTTTATCGAATCAACTAGTTGCAAATACGTGTAATAGGAATGATTCAACACCTGACCACCCAGATATCTGGAAAATTCTACTACCACGCCTACGACGACAAATAGGAGAGGACAAAGAAAACTATAAAACTCAAGTTTCGAAGTCGTGTGATTATAATTGATATGATTATGAACAATAATAGATTTTGTTCGAAACTTTGTCGTCCAGTAAATAATACTGTTTCTCTGTGGTACATCTAATAAATAAATAACTAGCTGGCACTCAACAGTCAGCAAGGCGTATCTGCAGCCTTGAAGGAACTCATATTCCTTCTGAGATTCGAACCAGCGTCACCAGCCAGTGCTGCCTGCAGTTAGAGACGTTACCACTGATCTGGATATTCGGGCTCGCAACTGACCTCCTGTAGGACTGTAGTACGTATTTTCATTGGACACTAGTTACTAGTGTCCAATCAAAACTGACGTGTATTATTTATTATTTAAACGTGAACTTGGTACATTATGCGCACACAAAATCTCATAGCTGGGACACCCAGAGGGCAGTAGATGGTTGTCTTCAGAGAACCCTCCCCAAGCATTTGATTTGAAGTCTGATCCAGAAGACGATGGAGTAGCGTTCTATGGATCCCAGTAACTAAAACAGATTAATGCGGCATTCAATTCGTTCAGACTATGTAGTACATATACTACACCATAGGCTAGGAATCAGGGTTTTCCAGATCCCCTGAGTAGATCTGCGTATCTATCAGATCGGTTGTAAGCGACAGATGTTCAGATTCGCGATTTCACTCTTGCAAGGAACACCCCACCGTGGGCCGTACCAGGTCTTTTATGGGGGCGCCCATATTGAAGTAGGTGGAGGGGGACTTGAACTCGTGACACATCGACTGAAAACCGATGGAAAACACTACACAGTTAGCAAATTCAAGCTATGAATAAGTTTTTAACTTGATATAGCATGAGAAAAATGCCAAGCGAAATGAAGCACATCTTGCTACAGTAAGTATCCTTCACTTATATGTCGCACATACACACACACACACAAGAACACACATTTGTTTCTAGTCAACGCAGCTTTAATCCTTGATTCCATAGTATCTATTCCACGATAACCTCGACAACAGGTGGTATGGATCGCGAAAACTAGAAAGGTATTCATTACTCTGAAAGCCTGTTGGCAATCATAGATACGGCTAGCCGGAAGTGTCCACAGAGGACCTCGTAGAAATGTGATATGTCACTGAAGCCGTCTGAGCTGAGTTGAACCGAGTATACCGATAATTAACTCAACCGAAATGCCCATCCCATGTTTAGTTCACTTCAATCTGACTAACAAGAACTACTCATTGCCACTGTGATTGATTTCCAAATACTCAAATTGAATAATCAGTAATATATACCAACAAGACACCTACCTAACGGTTTTTGTAACACTAAAGAATAATAGTAATGCAAGGTGTTAGTTACATTTTGATGATAGGCTTCAAACAAAAATACAACTCATGACATATAGAGCCTTTAGACGATAACATCGATACTCAGTGTACTACATCGAGATATTGACTGGAAAAACTCGACCATTCCTAAGAACACTGTAATCGCACACTGCTTAATGTTACTCTGGCAGATTCACGCACGTGTCATTAAACACAAATTATTTATTTTTACGAGTTGATCACGGATTAATATCAGTTAGAGAACCGTTGAAAACCACCAGGGAGTACTGAACAGCCAGCTGTTTCATTCTAGTTTGGGAATCATCGGCAGTACATGATTTAGCGCGACCTCAACCAATGTCATTGGTGGGACATCCATCTTCACGCTCGACTTCTGGATGGACCTCATTGGTCACGACCTCACACTAAAACTCCAGGAAACTCTGTCCTGTAGCAAGTCACTAGCAAGCATCAGATTAATTTTCTACGTTTATTTTGTAAGGATTAGATTTGTTTTTACGAGTTGATCACGGATTGATATTAGTTAGAGAACCATGGAAAACCAGGGAGTACTGGGGTCGCGCTAAATCACGAATTAATGCAAGTTAGAATTCATGCACTGGCCACTGAATCGGGTCTCAGTGGCTGAATGGTGTACGAGATTGCCTTGCACCCGGAAGATCCTGGGTTCGAACCCTGGCGTCGGGTGGGTGCATAGTACCGATGATTCCCCAACTAGGATGAAACAGCTAGCTGTCCAGTACTGGTGGTTTTCAACGGTTCTTTAACTGATATCAATCCATCGTCAACTCGTAAAAACAAATCTAAACCTTACAAACCAACCATAGGAAAAACCAAATTATTTAGCTTTGGCGGAGGTGGGTTGCGGATATCCTTTACTGACAGAAACATCATTTGATATAAATTTCAGGCCAAAAAAGGGTGCCTAGGGACTACTGTCCTGTGTTAAATAACATTGGGAGTGAGTAACACTGAGGTTAAGTGTAACGCGTTAAGCAACACAGGGATAGTCAACAGATGACGTTGTGAAGTTACATCATCTGAGATGGATAGGATACATGTTAGAAATGCCGAGGCGATCACTGCCTACCTCGACGAACTAAGCTAGCTGGCGTAGGATTAGGCTGGGGAAGAGGTAGTGTGGTCAAATCACAACCTGGAATCAGTTCACGAAATATTTAACTGTCGATTTTGAGTCACGTAGGGAGGCGTAGACTGTCTGGTTAGGGTCCTCGAGCCGCTAAGAACTAATAGCTTGAGACATTTGGTCTAGTGGATAACGCTTTGGCGTTTGGAACTATGGGCACTGGGTTCGAGCCTCGGTGTGGAGAACACCATCACTCACACACTGAGTGGGGAATGCAGGTACATCCACCGGCTGACGAGTCCCAAATAGGACGAAATGCACATCCTGGTGGATTCCACTGCTAGTCATCATCCACAAATTAAATTTGGTGATACGGCTCAAAATCGTTCTTAATGACGCAGATGCATACACTCATTTTAATCTCCGAGATCTGTCAAGTCCTCATGATTTTCCGTATGGTTGGTTATTTTCCCCTCCTACATTTCTCATTGTGGTTCTTGTTAGATCCCATCTCTCTCTAACTTTGTGTGTGCTACCTGGAGTGTGCCAACTTGAACGGCGTCACTTCTGTGCATAATTCTACGTCGAAACCAAGAGTCACCCTCCTACAATTGATGTTTAATGTAACTCTTAATACAATAAAGAAACATATATGAAAACACATAACTTCTAGTTAATTTTTAAACTTATATAAGCTACATTCCTTGTATATGTCACGAGAATACAATCTACAATAACGCTGTGATAGAGTTTAATCTTTATTGTATTTATATATGGAATGACTTATTTTAATCATTGTAACATTGTTTCATTGTATTTCATACTTGCATTAACACTTTGATTACACAGGTTTTTATTGAAATTTATACCGGTTTTAAGCGAAAAGAAGAATTCACTCGCACTCATTATCAATCAATCAATAAATGTTCATTTTCAATCAGGAATTTTCGACCTAACTTGAATGGTGATTGTTCACGTGAGGAGTTTAACACGCAGACGTATATATATATATATATGCTTACGCGTTAGAACTCACGTATCCAGAACACATTTCTTATGTATGAGACTATGCAATCAATCATACTTATTCAATTGGTAGATGGTGACTAGCAGTGGAATTCACCAGGATGCGCATTTCGTCCTATTTGGGACTCGTCAGCCAGTGGATGTACCTGCATCCCCAGTGAGTGAGTGAGTGAGTGATGGTGTTCCCCGCACCGAGGCTCCAACCCAGTGCCCATAGTTTCAAACGCCGAAGCGTTATCCACTACACCACTTAGGCCACGAAAGCCACCACTTCTTGTGTAACGGGTCATATTAATTATTTAATTGAATTTTAGATTTTCCCATCCACTGATTGATTGAACCGAAGTGCTCGGTCTCAGGTTGACATGTAGGCTTCAATTAAAATCATACTCAGTGTGTGACGGCTGATGAGTAGACTAAATTAAGTGACGTGAGATTCCAACTCAAGGTTTGTTAGCTGGAAGGTCTAGTACTGAATTAAACCGACGAGACTCCACACATCTAGAAAACATATATGCAGGATGATAAAGGCGTGAATGAGGAAATATATTATCTTGAAGATGTTAACCCAGGTTACTCAACAACCACTATGATCTGCGTACAGTTCGCATGAGTGTTAATGATACTATCTGCCTGCTGCCCATACCTCGACAGATCAAAAGTGGCATGAACGAACTCAATGACTCGATGCCTAGAAGTCCAAAGCTTAATTCAGTGAGTTACAACTCCAAATTATCTTGAAGATAGCCGACAATTGTTTTATAGACCTAATATTTCTAAAATGCTACATTTATATTTACAGTACAGTGATACTTGTATCCCCCCATCCACCCAAACGTATGACCCTGGAAACCTAATGGTTGTTGACTGTTTTAATTTATCAATCAAATAAGTGTTTCTCAAGGCCATTTAGGGCATATATATATATACGCAATTGCTGTCAACCATTTTCGCTGTAGATTAGAGACAGCAAAAGTTCATTACGTCAATGGTCTGTCTTCTTGCGTCGCGAATTCGATGGTATCGTGTCATGTCGTTGTTGTTATTGCTAATTATCATTAGAACAGTAGACTCGTAAATCGACTAGGTAGGAAGTGTTCGTTAGGACAAACTACGAAGTGCATTAAAAGTCATATCAATGCTAACTGAATCGGATCTGCATTTGTACCATATTTCTCAACTTCTACACGAATAATGAGTTTCACTTTACACTTCAAAGGTAGTTTTTGTAAAGAACACACTAACGACCAGTAACACAGAGTAATTAAAAATTCGATTTGATACTCCAAGCTTTGGATATTTCATACATTTGACCAAAAATTGAATTTAGTTACAGAATCATTTATTCTTATTATTTCTTTTAGTCCCTAGAGGAACATACGGCTTCAGCCGCACGTCTCCATTGCGTTCGGTTCTCAGTAAACGTTTTCACCTGGCTCCAAGTATGCCCATATGCTCTCATATCCTCTTTACATCACCTCCTCCATGTCACCCTTGGACGACCAACTTGCCGCTTCTCGTTCGGGTTCAGCTTGAGCGATGGCCTGGCGTGTAATATCACTTGATGGTTTATTTTCTCAGAGTATGACTAACCCACCTTGATTTCTCCCTGCTTATTCGTTGCACAATCGGTTCCTGGTTGGTTCGCTCATTTCCAGAGATCCCTCCCTGTTGCTGGTCTTTTCTGGCCGGTCATCTGATCTTGAGGAGTATTGAGCGAAGACAGTTGTTGATGAATGTCTGTAGTTTGTTTGAGGTGCTCTTCATGACGCGCCAAGTCTCTGGTCCGTATAGTAGCACTGACTTTACATTGCAGTTGAAAATCCGAATCTTACTTTTCATGCTGGGTGTGCTGTTGATCTCTACACAAACTTGAAAGTAATGAACGCTGGCCTTGCTTTCCCGATCCCCGTTTTGATATCCTCATCGGTTCCGTCTGCCTGTAGTTAAAACGATGCTTCCAAGGTAGATAAACGAGGTTCTTTCTTTCAGATTTCTCCGATTTATGCTGATTGTTGTCTGGTGTAGCTGCTGTTGATGTTCCTATTGGCAAAGAATCTTCATCACCTCTGTTGTCTCTATGTTCACATGAATGCCTATCTTTGATGCTTCTTCTGCCAACTTGTTGCTTTTCACTTGCATAACTTTCAGTTTGTTGGAAACAGAATCATTTAAAACCAAGGAATACTGGACAGCTGTTTCGTCCGTGTTTCAAAAGGCCTCCGCAGTATTCGGTATCTCGAGAGAGCCTTGGCAATTTATGTGTTACGCGATAGATGATAGAAAAAGTCCCTTCAAATGTTATCTTTATGGTCTGCCTGTCTGCCTACACCAACACCAAGTGGTCTAATATCAAAGTGTTGATGGTTTTCACTACACCTTTGTGTTAAACAACACTTATTGACAGATGTTCCCGAATGTTAAAAATACAATTGATTCTATAGTGGTCTGTAGAAAATATTGGTTGGACGTTACTGGGCACTAAACGTTCCTTGAATCGATTTTCTTAGCTTGTTGGTTATGATTTTGCTTGGTACCTTATAAGTTGAGTTTCAGTCGCATACATACAGAGGTTTTTTTGTTTACAGATACAGAACAGCTCTTTGTTGACTTTCTTAGCTATGCATTTTACGGTAAACTTCTCCGGGTATTTATTTCCGGTTATCGTGTCATTTGCAATCTAAGGATCTTCAAATATTGTCAGCTCATGAGGAAATCCTGTAACCAATCCCTACAAGCCAATATTTGAGAATCAATGAGATGCTCATTAGCGACTGGCCCTATTCAGGCAGGTAGTTACCTGGGTTTCTAGTGGGAAGTCGTGACCAGTAAGGGCACAGCAGGTCGGATGTGAGGACAAATACTCACCGAAGACATTGACTAGTCTTCGCGCTATGTCGTAAATTGGCAGAAGTTAGAATTCACGGGCTGGCCATTGGATCGGGTCCCAATGGCCTAATGGTCTACGAGCTCGCCTCGTAACTGAAAGGTACTGGATTCGAACTCCAGTGGGTGCGTACTTCTCAAGAGTCCCAAGCCAGGATGACATAGCTGTCCAGTACTCCTGAGTATCCTAAAGGTTCTCTAAATGATGAAATACTGTAAATAGTAATAACTATTGAATATTATTATCGACACATTTAACTGTAGAACCTGATGAAGGAGAAGAGGTTATCGAAAAGAAAATATTTTTTGTTCACCACTAATCAGTCTTTCATAATAATATCACAATTTAAAAGATTTTTAACACGAAAAACTAAAATCAACACTAAAATATACTGACCGTCAATAATCTTTCCAGCATCATCATAATGACTGTTTACTAAACGTCCAAGTAATAAACCAGTACAGGATAGAAGGACGCATATTAAATAGCCCAATGTGAATCGAATAGGCACACGACTTATCTTTCTACCCAAATAAATTATTCCCAATGTCCACAGCTAAGAGATAAAAGGAAGAAAAAAAAGATACAAATTAACAGAAATGTTGAGTAAAAATTACTGAAACATATTTAAGTAAAATAATCGTGTTTTCCTATGCCGACTGGTGAATACCGGTGGCTCGATGGTCGAATGATGGCCGACTACGCAGGCGATCGGGATTCTAGGTTCCCTAGTCGCATATCTAAACTCCGCGTAGTTTACTAGCTCACAGAAAGCCGGAAAAAGGAGGAACTGACTAACCCACTGGTTTCAACAGAGAACAACCTCGTCGACTGATTTTCCCTCTCACTTACCTAGAACTCGATGCTTAACCAACTCAATATTACTCACCTTATTATAACACCTAAAATGGGAGAGAGAAAGCAGGTACCCATGATCAAAGGCAGCTAGTCAACCTTTCATGTTTTCCAGTTTCAATGACCATGTCTTACTCACAGCCATAAAAGAGGAGGAGCGAAATGTTGAACAGTATACACGTCCTTTGCTCGACAGCCGGATATCACGTCTACGCCAGAGATGCCGTAAGTTGACAAGTGCCAAAGGAGCTTTCTATGCCCATGCTGAGATTTCGTCAGTGATCGATCCGTTGGAGCCGGCTGATACAACTTTCCAAGTAAGCCAAGCGGTCAGCACACTCCACCAATCACTTTACTCCCCTCTCTCTTTAAGCTAGGAGTCAGTGCAGTTCAGTCCTGTAACATCATCTTACATCTGACAACAAGATTATTCCCTTTTGATTACAAATCAATACTTGAAAATTGATCTGATGCTCACCAGCGACTGGCCCTATTCAGGTAGGTAGTTACCTGCGTTTCCAGTATGAAGCTGTGACCAGTAAGGTACAAAAGGTTGAATGTGAGGACAGGTACTCATCGAAGAAGACATTGGCGAGGTGATCGTGCTGTGTCGTAAATCGGCAGAAGTTAGAATTCATGGAATGACCGGCCATTGGATTGGGTCCCAGTGGCTTAATGGTCTACGAGCTCGCTAGCCTTGTAACCAGAAGGTCCTGGGTTCGAACCAAGGCGGTGAGTGCATAGTGCTGAAGAGTCCCAAACTAGGATGAAACAGCTGCCTGGCAGTACTCCCAGCTGGTTTTCCAATGGTTTTCTAACTGATGTCAGCTCATGATGAAATCCTCCAACCCATCCAACAAAATGCCTACAAAACCAATACCTAAAATGTTTAATATACTTGAAAATGTTACATGATGTCAGTTAATGACAGGAGACTCCCAAACTTCATAAACAATGTTCAGAAAAATTACAATCGCTATCTAACACTTAAATTCCGATTTCTGTGTTGAGAAAGAAGCAGTTATTAGTCTTTCCTTGACCTGGTAGTAACTGGATGTCTCCGTTAATTGATTATGTAATCTTCGGCATTAACCACTTCTCCTTTGATGATACAGTGTAACTTTGTTTGTCTCTTATTTCTTTAATTTGAGCTGAACTCACTGCACTGTTACTCCATTTATTACTAATTCACCACTTTTCTTTATTACGTAACTCTTTTACCATTCATTGTATGCAAACATCTATTTTTGTTTAAACTTGAACTCTTTGGGTAAAAACTGCATAAGTATAATTTTCTGAGCTCTCTTTATCAAAATCTGCAGCCTCTTGTCACTAACGGACATCATGTAACAATTGTAAGTATGTTAAATATTGATTGTTCTGTATATAAAATTGGTCAATTTTCTTAGGCTGTTGTACGCATGCAGCTATTGAGAAGTCAACGATATAAACGATGATGATGGTATCATCTTATTCTGCACAAACCACTGAGTTGTTCTTGCTTGATTCATTCAAATTGATACAGGAGAGTAAATGTATGAAGAAGTAAAATTATTAACGTAAACAATTAATTAGTTAAATTAGGCGATTAATAATGAGTTAAGCTCAGTGAGTTGTAATCAAAAATAAGATTATGACTCAACAGATACAGAAAAAAAAACTAGGTGAGACTTCTAGTTAGCAAGGTAGTGCAAGATTCATTAATCACACAAACTTCCTATCCATACAGATAAGTTTTCAAGAATTAGTTAGTAGATATTCTATTTGTTAAGTATCTTGGATTAATTCTCTCTTCTGACCTATCCTCGTCCTCTTATGTCTTAGCGATTTCTAAAAGAATATTTCGTCTGACTTTTTACATTAAGAAGTTAAGGCATTCAGGCATAACTCAACCACTCCTCTTACAGTTTATCAACTCGTGTATTTTACCTATTCTTCTTTACTGTTCACCCTTATTCTTTCCTGGATTGCTTAAAAACGACTATGTCATACTTCGTAGAACTCTGAAGACTGTCAGTAGGGTGGGTGGTATCCCATTGGGCCATATCGTTGACATTGTCACTGATAGGCACTTAATGTCATGCACCAAATTCGCTAAAGGAATTTTGTCAGACTCTGAGCACCCACTCTACCCACAGCTCCTACCTTGTGTCACCTCAGGTAAAACAAGAAGTCTTTTCAGAAGACTTTATGCACGTACGTCTAAGTATAAAAATTCCACTATAGCATATTTGGTGGCACGTACTTTATGTGATGAAAATAGTGTTAGGCATGAACTAACTAACCTTCTTTGCACTACTAAATAAACCATTTCCTCCACCCTTACAACATCAACCTTTATTGTTATTGTACTTCTTATATTTATAATCCTCTCAATTTTTTTGTTTTTATTTGTTTATTTTTTCATAAGTGTGAACATCATTTAAGCTGTGTTATAACTGTTAATTTTGTATTTCACCTCACTATACTATATCAACAGAACATTAGATCCAATAATCTATAACATGCTAAAGTTCCCAAACTGAATCGACAATACCGTTTGAAACAAACTCACTGTTATTATTATTATTAGTATATCTAATAATTATGTCGTAAATATGGGCAAATTCCTCCGATTAATTTTGTTTCAATTTTTAATTTTATTTAAATTTTGAGTAAATGAGATGCAATATTGTGACAAATACTGAGAATTCCATTCTGTATTATAAGTACTGTTTTTGGAATAAAGTAAATTATTATTATTGTTTCACGCCAGACCACTGATTGATATCGCAGTTAGAGAACCATTGAAAACCACCACCAGGGAGTACTGGATAGCCAGCTGTTTCATCCTCCTAGTTTGGGGCTCATCATCAGTACGCACCCACTGGTTTTCGAAGCCAGGAAGGCAAGCTCATGTACTATTCGGACACTGAGACCTGATCCCATGACCCAACAATTCTAACTTCTACCAATCCCAGTGCTCACTGGCTTTCGATGGTTCTCTAAATGATATCAATCTGTGGTCTAGAATGAAACGCATAGAGATTAGTTCCGTTATGGGTGAAATATATTTTGATAAAGTTTCACAGTGATATACAGTAATATTTGCTGATGACCACGTTTCGAGCACAATTTATTGCTCATAATCACATCAAGTTACTCACACAACTTTCTGAATTCGTTTGTATAATTCCATTATTTCTCATCGCTTACTTTGATTGGTAGTAGTACTTTCCATATTTCCGGTATGAGTGATGAGCCATTCTGACTGCACGTATTGGGTGTCAGTTCGATGAATAAGGATTCAGTAACCACTGTCTCCCTCCACCTACGTAAATTTTTCTTTTCAGAATTTTAACCATCTCCCACCCTATTGTGTGGTTGTGTGTTAATGCATGTAGTGCAATCGCTGAGCTCTTTTCTAAATTACTTATCTTCTCGGGGTCAACCATTCTTACCTTAGCTAAATTCTTATGTTCTGACTGAACTATATAGTTGACTCACAGTCATTGAAGGGTATTTTGTAAATTATATTATTTTGTCTAATTGGGTCAACTGGGTCCTGCAACCTACAGAGCTTGTCCTACCTGAGTGAGTTTGTAGTTCTGAATGCCACCGTAATTCATACTTTACTAAGAATCCTACGTAGGGAGGGTTTCAGATGTCCCCCCCCCCTTATACGGTAGAACTACAGATGCCTTGTATTCTCTCTAATTTAAGTTTTCAATATTACTTTCCTCATTATTTTTGTTTTGCTTTTGACCTTTTTTTGATATTCCTAATGAATTTTATAGGAGAGTTAGTTATTTAACACCAACCAGATATTTTTCTATCTGTTACATTTAATCATTTAGGTTTTTTGTTGTACTACTTAGTGCTACTGCTCGGTTTGTTAGACACTTAACTAAGCATACCTTAACAGTTAACGGATGACATGAGTTAAAGTCAAAATATCTATTAGCAGAATGCGTTGGCTTTTTATAAACACTAAAGTACAGTTTACCTTCTTCTATTCGTTTTATTTGACAATCTAACTTCAGAGCTAATTCTCCTTGTTCATTTTCCTATTCAAATGCAAATTGTATTCCCTCTACTAGTGAGTTTATGCATGTGTCAAGAAGCTAGAGAGATATGTTCTGTTTTTAACACTGTGAGTGAAAGTGTCATCCACATATCTCCAACGTATAGCACTGTGTGACTTTATCAAAATAAATTTTACCCATTATGGAATTATACTCTACCGCCACAGTGCACAAGTTCTATGCTTATATCAACATAGACATTAGATTGAAATTATTTTGATAGCAATGGCATCTTAGAAGTGGAGTAGTCACAGGTTTCTCCGTATATTGATTATTTTGTATAAATAAACTCTGGTAGAATGCTCGTCAATCACTACTCATGTAGTCCAGGGTTCGAGTCTCGGCTGACATACTCGTAAACCTCACTTAACCGGTGGTAAATCCAGTAAAGAATGGATGTTAGGTGTGAGGTCACCCATTCTACCTTGGTAAAAATGAAACCACTGATAATGGAACTACAAATTCCAAGCCTAACACCCTATGTTCCATTTGGAGCGTACTTTTTAGGTTACTAGCAGTTGATGAAGATCCGTGAAATAAAAAAGTCCATTTTACCCTCAGAAAATATTCGTTCTGTCTGTCTTTTTGTTCAAACTAATCACGGAGACTGGTTGTATGAAATATGGATTACTAAAAACTATGACACGATTCGGGTTACAATGAAAAGTCAAGTATGGGCGAAACAAATACCACTCACAGCTGATGAAATCAAACCGCACACAAAACGTGTTGTAAAGATTACAAAATAAAAATGACTAAAAGTACACTATTCCAGGCAGAATTTCAACCTTCACTTGCTTCTAATATAATGTAATATCCAGATTAGAGTTTATTATGTATAAACTGGTTATTTAGAAAAAAAACACCATGCACATTACCAATATTGATATGAAATGAACAATATCAGTCGCCATAGTGATAAAAGACAAGGTTTGTTTTCGTGTTCACTACTTTCACGACGGAAAACTGACATACGCGTATGTTTGTGATGTCAAAGATTATACTGTCAACAATCAATGTGACTTTGATAGGAAATGTTAACTAACCAGTAGAGATTTTCCATGTTCCAGGCTATTTATCCATACTTATTTTGAGGAATGATAATACCGTAACGACAGAAGACGAGGGGCAGGCAACAGATCGTTTACTGAGAAAATCAAGAGGTATTTATAGATTTCTATGTGCATTATTATTAGCGTTATTGTTAGCGTAGAAGCGACCTCTTCTGATCGGCTGTTTTCTTACTGAAGGTTATTCTGTTATCTCATTGTGGCAGTTTCTCAGAAAATCAAGTCATATATCTGTGAATCATATTTCCACACTTTAACTCCGCTGTGAATGGCTGGTGATTTTCTCAATGTTAAGCTTTGTTATTATTTTCCTCATGACCCTGATTCGGGACGTGAACATTGACGTAAATTGTTGTCTACAATTTTAGCTTCCAGACAGCTCTCACCACAAAATACTACCCGACTTGCGAGGCAGGACTTGAACTTGAGGTACGATGACTGAAAGTTGACGGCTCAAGACAGTGAACCACATCTACGCAAAGTGAACTTCAGGCTTCTGTTAATTTTTCTCAAGTGTTGATTTCCAGAAATTTGATAACTTTCAGTTTAGATCACAAATTGACATCATCTAGAGAACCATGGGGAATCATGGAGTGCTGTACAGTCGCGTCCCCCAGGTTTCGGTACATTCTTCGGCAGAATCATAGGAGTGTGTGCTGATGAAGAGTCCCAAACTAGTACTTACAAGTTTGCGATAGTTCACTGACTAATGTCAATTTATGATGTAATTTGAAACGTTTGTTACGGTATCCAGATAGTATTGGAACTCTTCTACAGAATATTGTTTCAGAAATGATGATGCCAGTCAACGGCTATGTCAAACGGTAAACCATGTATCCTATATGCTGGTTTAGGATATTATCTAAGTATTGAAACCCTCACTAGTGTGTGTGTGTGCAGAAGCGTTGGAATAAGAGGCCTAGTTTATCTCTGGCAACGAGCGAACCAACCAGGAACCGATTGTGAAACAAATAGGCTGGAAGAAATGGAGATGGATTGGCCGTACTCTGAGGAAACCATCAAGTGACATCACTAGACAAGCCATCGCTCGAGTGGAACCTGAAAGGGAAGCGGTGAGTTGGTCGTCCAAAGTGGAGGAGGTCATGTGAAGAGGAGATGAAAACGTGTGGGCAGACTTGGAGCCAGGTGAAGACTCTAGCAGAGAACCGAATCCAATGGAGACTCACGGCTGACACCCTATGTTCCTCTAGGAATTAAAGGAAACAATAATAATAATAATAATTGATGTTTCTATGAAGTCTACAATATTCTGTCAAAGAAAGCCAGATTATCGGACTACTATCCTAGCATATTCGGTGTATTCATTGAACAAAGCATAGAATGGCAGTCAAATCTGTACCTCAATTTCATGAACTTTGAAAAGGACTTCGATAGCGTTGACCGAGAAGTAATTTGGAAACTATTTCAACACTACGGCGTGCAGTACCCAAAATCTGTATCACCCTCATTCAACCACAGCTATATGACAATGTCATTTGCCAGGTGATCCACAACGAAAAACTCAGTGAGGCGTTTGAAGTAAAGTCAGGAGTAAGACAGACAAGACTGGCTGCCGATTATCACTAACAATGATATTCTGAATTGTAGTGAACTGGATTATGCGCCAGACTGTAGATAGTGAGAAGACAGGAATACGCTGCACCGATAATAAAAGGACTCTAGAACAGCTAGATTTCGAAGATGATTAGTGGTTAATGTCACACAAACTAGAAGACTTACAGGCAGAAATCAACAGACTAACTGAAGAAGTAGCGAAGACAGAACTCCAGGCGAAGATCGAGAAGACTGAGGTCATGAAGATAACTAACCGACAGCAACGGCAACAACCAGCCCTAATCACCATCAACGAGAGAGATTTGACAGAGGTTACTTCCTTAACTTATCTAGGAAGCATCGTTTCAACTGCATACGGACCGGATGAAGAAGTCAAAACCAGAATGGGAAAGGCAAGGCAGACCTTCATCACTCCGAAATCAGTGTGGAAATCTTCTACACTCAGCCGGTATAAAGAACAACACAAATGTTAAGTCAGTCACTGCTTCTATATGGGACAGAAACTTGGCGTACTTGTCACAAAAAGCATTTCCAACAGGCTCATACAGACATTTATCAACAGCTACCCATTTCGATGGCTCTATATTTCTTTTATTCCTTCACGTTCCCAGTGGAACATAGGGCTTCAAGCTAGAGGCATGAAGTTTCTTTAGCAGTGTTTATTTTTACAGGATGAGGTTGCTAGCCTCATGCCCAACCAATCCCTTATACCAGCTTTTATTTCTGGCTTAGCGTGGTAAAGGGGTGAGTCGGCCGGGGGTCGAACCCCGGACCATGTGCATGGTCGGCGAGCATCCTAACCACTGTGCCACCAACGCACCGACGGTTCCATATTAATTATGATCAAATGGCAGACCAGAAAGAATTGGCAACAAGAAACTATGGGAACAAACCAAACAAGAACCTATCACTCAACAAATATGCAAAAGCAAACGAAGGTGGACTGAGCGCATTTCGAGGAGACCATTGGGTGACATCGTGCGCCAGGCAGACCCCCGAGTGGAACCCCAATGGGAAACGACTTGCTAGGTGTGATTCCAAGGGTGATATGGAGGAGAGGCTATGGGTGAACGTCGGGGCAGCTTAAGAGGACCGCAGAGAATAGGAGAAAATGGAGACGTGCTGCTGTCGAAGCCCTATCTTCCACTCGGAGCTCAAGGGAACAGTAATAATGATATTTAAAGAAAATCAATTTAAAATTTTCTCAAACAGAAAATGAACTTACACAACAAACAATACTTATCCAAGAGACATCTTCCACAGTCTTGCCAAGGATATTTACATAATCTGATGGTGTTGCAGCATACAGTGTGATAATTCGTGCAAAAATGAACATGATTGGTGCACAGAGAAATGTTCCCAAAACAAGACCAATACCGATCTATACAAAATATGTGAACAAAATATAAAATAAAATAAGAAAAAAACAGGACATAATGACAAAAAAATCAGTTAGCTAAACAACTTAATGGTGATAAATAACTGTTCAGTTGAATATTTCAATATTTATGAAGTCAAGCAAGCGCAGATCTTCTGTTGGTGGTATGATTCAGAATTGTTCACGATGCTTCAGATTCATTTACTGTTTGTGATCATTCAGACTCACTATCAATCCTTATTGTTCTCTATAAAATGATACTATCTCCCAAAACATAACTGTTTATTATAGTTTCTTTGTATTTCCTTTCTGTTGTCTGCACCTCTTCATGTGTATTTTGTGGTAAGACTTTACAAACCTTTAGGAACTCGGCTGGCTGGCTGTATGTCAACCAAAAAAACTCAGCAGCGAAAGAAGATGAAACCAACATCACCTGTAAAGTAAAGTGCAACGTTTGCGGAAAACACTACGTTGGCCAGAGGGCAGACCCTCTTCGTCTTCGCATCCATGAAGGTAAATAAGCCGTCAAAAGACATGATATTCACTCCCCCCTCCCTAATATCACTGCATACAGACAACCACGGATATCAATTCGACCGAGAAAACGTTCAAATATTAAGGAGCGGAAACAACAAAAACATCAGTGGATTTTTGAAAGCCTGGTATTCCGGTGAATCGGTAATTAACAGGCATATTGACATAGACATGATTTACCAATCCAAAAGGAGGACATCTCATGCACAAAAAGTTAAGGAGACAACGAATACTCATATAAGTAGACCACAGGGTGTGGAAACACACAAAAACAAACAATCACTTCCAAGGTTACCCAGAGAGAGGACTGATAAACTCGTGGGGAAATTGTAAAACTCACTTCATATCGAAGTACGCGAAATGAACACAACAACATTAAAATCATCCACCTGAGCTACAAATCTCCCCCCACTGTATCCCTTCACTGTGCAGAACAATGACAAGTCAATTCACAATGGTGATCACATTGAAAACCTGACTGGATTGAATTCTGCTTGCACCCACTCAAAAACTAGACTGAGAATTCCACACTGTATCATAAGTTCTATTTTCGAATAAAGAACACTATTATTCAAGTGTTGGTTTGTAGGGATTTGATTGGTTACAGGATTTCATTATGAGCTGACATCAGTTAGAAAACCATTGGAAAACCACGTGGGAGTATTGGACAGCTGTTTCGTCAGCCTAGTTTGGGACTCTTCAACAGTATGCATCCACTGCCTCGGTTCGAACCCAGGACCTTCAGGTTACAAGGCTAGCGACCTCATAGACCATTCATCAGCCACTGGGACTCGATCCAATGGTCAGTTCATGGATTCTAACTTCTGCCAACTTACGACATACCGCGATCACTAGCCAATGTCTTCGGCGAGTATTTGTTGTCACACCCAACCTGCTGCACCCTACTGGTCACGACTTATTACAAAAACCCCAGGTAACTACCTACCTGGGTGCGTACTGCCGAAGAGTCCCAAACTAGGCTGACGAAACAGCTAGCTGTACAGTACTCCCAGGTTTTCCAATGGTTCTCTAGCCAATGTCAGCTCATGATGAAATCCTGTAACACTATTATTATTAGACGTATGGCATTGATCACCACCTAGTGAACAAGGTACTAATTCAGTTCAGTCACTGGTGAATGATCGTCGCAAGCACTTTAGAGACTCCCATCTCTTTATGCTGATGTAAAATGTGACATACAGTTTGCCCAAACAGTAGCATTAAATCAAATGTTGCCAGTGTCCATCATCTGTCTGTCTGTCTGCCTATCTATCTATCTGTCAAAACCATCTGTTATACAAAAAAAAAAAACAAGATTCAATAAATTCTTCCTTCCTCAGGCTCTACAGTTATAAATCCATGAATATTATATTACAAATAGTCATTAAAGGCATGTGAAAATTGTATATGTTATACAATATGAACGGAACTTGATTCGTAGTCTTAGTCAAAGTATAAGGTGCATATATAATGAAGATTGTATTGAAGATGAAATTGAAAATCTTAAAAGTACCCAGCTACAAAATGGTTATCCTACCGATTTACTAAATTTTCTATATTTCCAAAAGAATCAATGAAGTTAGGCGTGATATGGTGAATAAGAAAAAGTTTTATTTAAGAGTACAGTTGAAAGGTGATATGTTCAGTAACATGTTAAACGTAAGTTGATCAGATCCATAAGAAGAACTTTCAGTGCTGCAGAACTACACACCAGTTTCTCAACCAGACCAATACTGACAAAGTACACTAAAGATAAATTACCAAAGAAGGCCACATCAGTGTGTGTATACAAATTTAACTACTCCCGCGGAGCTAGTTATTTATATCCGTCGAACTCAGAGGAATTTATCTTTACGCGCTCAGGAACGAACATTCTCCAGCTTAGCTTGGAAAAAGTGTAACCAAATCAATAAATGGTGTCATTTTGTCTCATCTAGTAGATGGTGAACACCACATCGAAATAGATGAATCATTTGCGATTGTATATCGAGTACCAAACAATCTGCCTAAAGGTACACACGATTACGTTCAGATCAATAAGAAAAAACCTCATCTATGTGAGCAAAAGAAGCACATTTATCCTTTTTGTTTACCCTGGGACGTAATTATCGCATATTTTGCACGTCATTTTATGCCTTCTAATTCCAATTCACCTAGTTCACTTTACTCCATTATTAACTCCTTATTATGTGTCAACCTTTTGTAATTTACACTAAGCAGCTTATTATGTCTCTAGTATTTGATTACAGTTCACAATTTAACCTCTTTTTATGTTATCACTACACTTGATATCTGTCACCACTTGCTTAACTTGCATTGAGTGTTCCCCATTTTCTACTATTTATATTGTGGTAATCATTTACCTCCCACACCACTGAATACAACTCACTAACCACCCCTCCACCCCTCGATGAAACTTATATTATGTTGACTATAAATTCGTGCAATCCACGCAATCAAACAAAAATCCTTACAAAACCAACACTTGAAAATTAATCTGATGCTCACTAGCGACTGGCCCTATTCAGGCAGTTAACCTGGTGAGGTTCTAGCGGGAAGCCGTGACCAGTAGGGTACAGCAGGCTGAAGATGAGGCAGTAACTCATCGAAGAAGAAGAAGACATTGCGAAATGGTCGCGCTATGTCGTGAATCGGCAGAAGTTAGTATTCATGAACTGGCCATTAGATCGGGTCCCAGTGGCTTATAATGGTCTACGAGCTCGCTAGCCTTGTAACCAGAAGGTCCTGGGTTGGAATCGAGGCGGTGGATGCGTACTGTTGAAGAGTCCCAAACTAGTACGAAACAGCTGGCTGTCTAGTAGTCCCAGGTTTTCCAGTGGTTCTCTAACTGATATCAGCTCATGATGAAATCCTCCATGCAATTAAACAAAAAATCCCTACAAAACCAATACTTGAATTCATTAATATATCACCCTTTTGTCTATTCACACTTATTTATATTATGTTCTCAATGGCTGCATATTTTATCTAGCCGTTCATTTGACAATATTAAATAACGAACTATCACTCTATATTATACATGTACCCCAGTATGACAGTTTCTGACATAGTTTTCACTTGGCTGACTATTTGTATTCTAATAATAATAATCATGGATTTGTAACTGTACAGTCTGAGGAAGAAGTTGATATCGAAATCACAATTGTTCACTCAAAAATAATCTAAGAGTATACAGTTCGATTTCAAAAACGAATAAATAAATACGACTTCATAATCCCGCTTTATTTTTAACTAACTAAGCAATCGAAAACGTTAAATTCTATTATCTAATCGAATTGTGATCAACGGCTGCCGAAAAATAAATAAACTCGCTTAATTTTCTTAAATCAATAATATTATTTTTTCAAGGCGTAGCCACAGAGTAGCAAATAACACGACAAAATATATATGTATATATTCAAGCATTGGTTTTGTAGGGATTTTTTTGATTGGTTGGAGGATTTCATTATGAGCTGACATCAGTTAGAGAACCATTGGAAAACCAGTCGTTTCGCCAGCCTACTTTGAGACTCTTCAGCAGTACGCACCCACTGATCAGAGTTCGAACCCAGGACCTTCCGGTTACATATCTAGCGACCTCGTAGACCATTAAGTCACTGGGACTCTATCCAATGGCCAGTTCATGAATTCTAACTTCTGCCAATTCATGACATAGCACGACCACTTAGCAATGTCTTCTTCGACTAGTTACTCCCAGGTTTTCCAATGGTTCTCTAACTGATGTCAGCTCACGATGAAATCCTCCAAACAATACACATATATATTGAAGACATTTGAGTCAATGCACTGAAACAAAATGGAGGCTTTTAAGGATCTAAAAGCACTTAGATTACAAATAATGTTGACTGTATATACATTGAATACTATAACTGTGTTACATCATAATATTGTTTCAAGTTTGGATGAAGGTGATGGTAGAAAAAATCAGCTGCCTACTTAAATCACTGGGCTACTAGAATTTCTATCTATGAAAATGCTGCTTAAACTCTTCTGCACTTCTTATTGTTGTAATCGTGCTACTATATATATCAAACGATCAATACATGAACTCTCGCGCGCATATATTTAATTAGTTTCCCAATAGACCCTAGGCAATTGAAGAAAAAATGTACAGAATTGGTTCTCTCATCATATGAAGCAGCAATATACTAGGACAAATGATGTACTTCACAGATTATTGCATTACATGTAAATTCTGTATAAAGAGGAAATTATTTTGGAGCTGAATATGCTGAAAACTTTTGCAATATTTGTTCACATGTTGTCTGAAATAAAGCTTTACTATTATTGCAAATATACGCTCGGTGCGTCTTCCCACTTTTGACATTTGTACTTAGTCGTCTTTTATGAAATAAACTTGTTGAGACATAGACTAAATGCTAGATTCATAACTGATTGCATTCTTACTTGTGTTTTTTAACAGAATGCAGCACACCATATATATATAT